CTTGACTGGCTGGATTATGTCCGAATCTTGTCTTGACTAGCTGAGTCATATCCGAATCTTGCCTTGACTGGCTGGGTCATATCCGAATCTTGCCTTGAATGGCTGGATCATGCTCAGATTATCTTGCCTTGACTGGCTGGATCATGTAAGATAAGACTACAGGAAAGCGAATTTGTATTTTTATCAAAATACTGCAAATTTAGAGCTTTATAACTCGAAAAGAAGAATAGAAAAATATTTTATTATAGTGTTTTGGAAAGCTCTCGAGATAAGTTACAAGAATATGTAATGAAAAATGGTATGTTCCATTTAAGAAATTGAAGGTGACCTTCACGTAATTTTCAAATGACTATCCAAGATCAAACCAATTTTTCTCTACGACGCTTCGTTTTAATACTACAGGGTACAAAATAAGAATTTTATGATTTTAATAAAAAATAATGTATAAGTGGAAAAATTAAATTTATTTCAATTACACATATATATTTTAATTTTCAAAAAACAATGAACAAAAGGATGCAACAAAAATGCACAATTGATTAGCTCAATTTATAATAAATGTTCAAAAATTTCTCCATTTGCTTCAGCACAAAGATGACATCGTCGAAACATTGATTGTTTCACGTACGAAGACTGCAGGAATATTCTGAACCTGATATGCTGCAGCAGTAATTCAGGCTACCAATTCTGCTTCTGTTTCAATAGATGTCTCATAAATGAAAGTTTTCATATGCCCCCATAAAAAAAAGTCAAGCGAAGATAAATCAACGCGAGCGCGCACGCGGGCGAGCAGTGTGTGTGTGTGTGTGCGCGCGTGCGTATGCAACTGAACGTAACACACGGCAAGAAGTTACGTGCCCCTAACACACTGCTCGCCCGCTCGTGCGCTTACCCGCCCGCCCGCCCGAGCAGGCTCGCGATGGGTGCGTATGATCCTATTATATTTGAGGTTTTATAAATAAAATGTAATTTGTCTCATACATTTATGTAATGTCGCAAAATTAGGGTGTATATCAGTTGGACACGGAGCAATTGGACACAGTCCAATCACAAGTCGCTGTTCCAAGGGACCCTACAAATGTCTCTAATCATACGGTGCTGTGATTGGCTGTGTCCAAATGCACCGTGTCCAAGTGCACCGCTCCCGCAAAATTACATGGATAATTGTTAGGTCATTCTAATACAATAGGAAAACAAACACCCACCGCGAGCCCGCCCGAACTGGCGAGCAATGTGTGTGTGTGTGTGTGTGTGTGTGTGTGTGTGTGT